AAAAATTTAAATTCATCCTTCAGGTGTGCGTGGTTCTCACGAGCGACCCCGTGAAAGTCTTCGACTAGCTCGGGACCAGGAAGGCTGAGATGCTGAAATTTTAAGGGGATTTCCTCAACTCGTGTACAACTTCAACTTTTCAAATTTAACCCCTAGGCGTGTGTGGTTCTCACATACGGCCCTGTGAAAATTTCTGGCAACAAAATTCCTAACTCGGGGACCAAAAAAGCTGGGAAGCTGAAAGTTTAAAAGGATGTTTCCAATCCACGTACAAATTAAACGCTTCAAATTCACCGCTAGGTGTGCATGATCCTCAAATACAGGTCGGTGATTTTTTAGGCAGGAAAATTGCTAACTTTGGAACCACAAAATCTGGAAAGCTGAAATTTTAACGGAACGTCCCTTGTCAAAGTACTATGTATTTGTACAATTAACTTCGTGAACTTCTAGGAGCAGTATGTCACAAATTCTAGCTACTGGACCCCAGTCGATTTTATTACAGCACAAAATACTGCAGAAACGCATGATCGCACGGGCCGGCCTGGTGCATGTCGCCAATGATTTTTGGTTGGGATGGGAGTGACCAAGGATGCGTGATAGCGGTCGGTGATTGGGCACGTGAATGATGAGGACATACGACAGACGAGGAGTGATTGAAGTGTACTTGGGTGTTGTTACAAATAAAACGACGGCGTTGCAATGGACCATAGTTCAGTGGGTAAAAAAGCATTTTAAGGGAGCACTGAGCTGTCCAATTTGCACGCTGCACTTTCCATTCAACAGAATTCAGACTGTGGCTTTGCCGCTAGCACCGCATACAACGCTTTACTCGGTGTGCACAACATTCGGCATGGGACTTGCGCTGCTTCGAAACGGATGCAGCACTGGAAGACAGAGTTCGCTGAGGCCCACGCCCAATAATCGGAGTCATGTGTTGGTGCCAGCAAGTGATGTCCCGCTTTAACTGCAATGCCAGCTCGGGTTTGCTGAGGTGATCGACTGAGACGCAGAGAGGAGTACTGCGCACTGAAACTCCCAGAGTGCACATCAGACGGGGCAGTGAAAAGGAGCACCGAGAGCTCAACCAGCAGCGCAGCACCACCCAAAAACAGCGGCGGAATGCGGGGTGAAAGTGGAGTGTCTGCGGTGGGCGCTGAGAACCGAATCTGGTTCCGGTTGATCTAGCGATTCTACGAAGCCGCATGGAGCCAGTCAGTGTGCCGGGCGTGCTCGTTTGATCTCCATGCAAGTCGCAAAAAACATTTAAAAACAGCGCATGAAAGAGATGGCCACCCACTGACCACGGCACAACATCCACGCTTACAATCGAACACACTACAACGTAGGCGCTCCAGACGAAGTCCACCACCACCTCATACTAGCAATCAATAGTTGTACACATCCGCACCGCACTCCACGCACCCTCCCTTCCCTCCTCCCACATACAACATGGGCAAAGGGAGAATACATCGCCCAGACATGCCACCCGTCGAAGTGCGACGGGTCGAGCGGTGCGCGTGCTGACACAGGAGCGCCCCAGCGTAGTCTGGCGCATCGCGACGCGGCCCACTTTCGCGCACCGACAACTGCACCTGTACTGTGCTCACGCTGACCACAACTACTGCTGCTGCTGC